TACAAAACTCCCATACTACTGAATCTAAGTTCAGCATAGGAAAAACCCTGACTGTGACAATACACAGAAACCAGTACAAAATTAGGTCATAAGCTATAGCTCGGGACCTGAGATGCTCAGAGTGTCTAAGCGACACACAACCTCAGTACAACGTCGAAAATCACTAAGTCTATACAATGTTCTGTGAACAGAGTTCTACAGAACTAACAAGAATAATGAGACAGACAATCTGTCCAACCACCAAGAGAGTCTAGAGCAGACTGAATACTTCACGAGAGGTGAGGACACCCCCCCGCCTCGATCACGTGATAGCCCCGTGGACAGCACAGCTCAGAAGCCGGCAGTATAACGAGCGACAAGCGATAATTACAGTAGTTTGACAATCAAGACTTGAACTGAGCAAATATTATGTACATCCTAACAACATAAGCTACGTCAAATAACAATATAAGGCAATACATTTGCGATTTAGCTATTATCGCAAATATAAGCAATATAGAATTATATGAAATGATAATATACATTATATATATACATAATAATCATTGTAACCCATTCAGGGGTTGCAACAGACTGTGTTACCTTTAATAATGCTAGACTGTGTTAACTTTAATAATGCTAGACTGTGTTAACTTTAATAATGCTAGACTGTGTTAACTTTAATAATGCTAGACTGTGTTAACTTTAATAATGCAAGACTGTGTTACCTTTAATAATGCTAGACTGTGTTAACTTTAATAATGCTAGACTGTGTTAACTTTAATAATGCTAGACTGTTAACTTTAATAATGCTAGACTGTGTTAACTTTAATAATGCTAGACTGTGTTAACTTTAATAATGCTAGACTGTGTTAACTTTAATAATGCTAGACTATTAACTTTAATAATGCAAAACTATGTTAACTTTAATAATGCTAGACTGTGTTAACTTTAATAATGCTAGACTGTGTTAACTTTAATAACGCTAGACTGTGTTAACTTTCAGCACATCATCAATTGTTTAAACTTAAAGAATAATTTCAAGGCAAGAAGTGTTAATAATAAATAATAATAATAATAATAATAATAATAATAATAATAATAATAATAATAATAATAATAATAATAATAATAATAATAATTTTAACAAATCCTCCCCTAGTAATATTTTGTAAGCTTGTCCGATAAAAAGTTAAATGTCTGATATGAATTTTGTCAAAATCGACACCATGCCTAACCCTTCTAGGGTAGGGTAGGTGCCTGAGCCCGAGCCTTTAGCTCATAAGACTGTCATTCCCATTAGCCCCCTTGGGGCGGGGATGGCAGACCAGAGAGGCCTAGCTTGTGGCTAGGCCTGGGGACAGTTAGTCCCAAAGATGAGGAGGTACTTGTGCCTCCTCCCATGGGAGACTTAGGTCTCAGACACTCCCTAAAGAGAGAGACAAGGCCGGGCCACCACTTGGACAAGGCCCGGGCCGGGAGAATACCGGCGAATATTTAATAATAATAATAATAATAATAATTTTGTCAATATAAGACAATACAAAAGTCTGAATATATTTTAGAGGTTATTGTATAAATAAAATAAACAGATTCAACAAAAGTTAAATGAAAATCCAAAGCTAGATGTAATTAAAAATTTTTACATTAGAATTATAACCTTGGTAGGTTTAGCGCTTCTTTTTCAAAATAATAATAATAATAATAATAATAATAATAATAATAATAATAATAATAATAATAATAATAATAATAATTACATTAGAAAACGAAGTTTAATTTACTGCAGAAATATATTTAATTCAAATTGGTAATTCGGTGTTAAAAATCAAAATCAATGTAAATCAATAATTGGATATAGAGAAATAACCCGTAAATACAGATGAGCTTAACTATGTTTGGATCAAACTTGGATCATTTACAAAGTCACACTAACAGACAGGACTTAAGTCAGGTTAGGTAAGATTTGTAAGAAAATAGGACGAATGTTTCCTGATGTGGGTTTTAATTATACGATGACTCGCCGCTGGAGCTTTTGGTCACCTGACCGAGGCCTTGTACTGGCTTATTGATTCACTCCTTTAAAAATTATAACCATTTCAGAAATGAGTGAGGCAGCCAGAATATATAGGAGAGTGGGAACAAGAGAGGAGAAGAGGAAGTAATGGTAAGGTAATGGTAGTAGTGGTAGTGGTAAGGTAGGTAATGGTAGTAGTGGTAGTGGTAAGGTAGGTAATGGTAGTAGTGGTAGTGGTAAGATAGGTAATGGTAGTAGTGGTAGTGGTAGTGGTAAGGTAGGTAATGGTAGTAGTGGTAGTGGTAAGGTAGGTAATGGTAGTAGTGGTAGTAGTAAGGTAGGTAATGGTAGTAGTGGTAGTGGTAAGGTAGGTAATGGTAGTAGTGGTAGTGGTAAGGTAGGTAATGGTAGTAGTGGTAGTGGTAAGGTAGGTAATGGTAGTAGTGGTAGTGGTAAGGTAGATAATGGTAGTAGTGGTAGTGGTAAGGTAGGTAATGGTAGTAGTGGTAGTGGTAAGGTAGATAATGGTAGTAGTGGTAGTGGTAAGGTAGGTAATGGTAGTAGTGGTAGTGGTAAGGTAGGTAATGGTAGTAGTGGTAGTGGTAAGGTAGGTAATGGTAGTAGTGGTAGTGGTAAGGTAGGTAATGGTAGTAGTGGTAGTGGTAAGGTAGGTAATGGTAGTAGTGGTAGTGGTAAGGTAGGTAATGGTAGTAGTGGTAAGGTAGGTAATGGTAGTAGTGGTAGTGGTAAGGTAGGTAATGGTAGTAGTGGTAGTGGTAAGGTAGGTAATGGTAGTAGTGGTATGGTAAGGTAGATAATGGTAGTAGTGGTAGTGGTAAGGTAGGTAATGGTAGTAGTGGTAGTGGTAAGGTAGATAATGGTAGTAGTGGTAGTGGTAAGGTAGGTAATGGTAGTAGTGGTAGTGGTAAGGTAGATAATGGTAGTAGTGGTAGTGGTAAGGTAGGTAATGGTAGTAGTGGTAGTGGTAAGGTAGATAATGGTAGTAGTGGTAGTGGTAAGGTAGATAATGGTAGTAGTGGTAGTGGTAAGGTAGGTAATGTAGTGTAGTGGTAGTGGTAAGGTAGGTAATGGTAGTAGTGGTAGTGGTAAGGTAGATAATGGTAGTGGTAAGGTAGGTAATGGTAGTAGTGGTAGTGGTAAGGTAGGTAATGGTAGTAGTGGTAGATATATTTCCCTAAGTGATAACCTAAAACATGAAACTTGCGATTAAGTCAGGTGCTGTTCAGAAGAGAAACACCAGAGATGAATCCCTCCAGGGAGGTTCCTTGACGCTGGTGAGGGGATCTTGATCTAGGGACCAGGGAGGTTCCTTGACGCTGGTGAGGGGATCTTGATCTAGGGACCAGGGAGGTTCCTTGACGCTGGTGAGGGGATCTTGATCTAGGACCAGGGAGGTTCCTTGACGCTGGTGAGGGGATCTTGATCTAGGGACCAGGGAGGTTCCTTGACGCTGGTGAGGGGATCTTGATCTAGGGACCAGGGAGGTTCCTTGACGCTGGTGAGGGGATCTTGATCTAGGGACCAGGAGGTTCCTTGACGCTGGTGAGGGGATCTTGATCTAGGGACCAGGGAGGTTCCTTGACGCTGGTGAGGGGATCTTGATCTAGGGACCAGGGAGGTTCCTTGACGCTGGTGAGGGGATCTTGATCTAGGGACCAGGGAGGTTCCTTGACGCTGGTGAGGGGATCTTGATCTAGGGACCGGGAGGTTCCTTGACGCAGGTGAGGGGATCTTGATCTAGGGACCAGGGAGGTTCCTTGACGCTGGTGAGGGGATCTTGATCTAGGGACCAGGGAGGTTCCTTGACGCTGGTGAGGGGATCTTGATCTAGGGACCAGGGAGGTTCCTTGACGCTGGTGAGGGGATCTTGATCTAGGGACCAGGGAGGTTCCTTGACGCTGGTGAGGGGATCTTGATCTGGGGACCAGGGAGGTTCCTTGACGCTGGTGAGGGGATCTTGATCTAGGGACCAGGGAGGTTCCTTGACGCTGGTGGGGGGATCTTGATCTAGGGACCAGGGAGGTTCCTTGACGCTGGTGAGGGGATCTTGATCTAGGACCAGGGAGGTTCCTTGACGCTGGTGAGGGGATCTTGATCTAGGGACCAGGGAGGTTCCTTGACGCTGGTGAGGGATCTTGATCTAGGGACCAGGGAGGTTTCCTTGACGCTGGTGAGGGGATCTTGATCTAGGGACCAGGGAGGTTCCTTGACGCTGGTGAGGGGATCTTGATCTAGGGACCAGGGAGGTTCCTTGACGCTGGTGAGGGATCTTGATCTAGGGACCAGGGAGGTTCCTTGACGCTGGTGAGGGATCTTGATCTAGGGACCAGGGAGGTTCCTTGACGCTGGTGAGGGGATCTTGATCTAGGGACCAGGGAGGTTCCTTGACGCTGGTGAGGGGATCTTGATCTAGGACCAGGGAGGTTCCTTGACGCTGGTGAGGGGATCTTGATCTAGGGACCAGGGAGGTTCCTTGACGCTGGTGAGGGATCTTGATCTAGGGACCAGGGAGGTTCCTTGACGCTGGTGAGGGGATCTTGATCTAGGGACCAGGGAGGTTCCTTGACGCTGGTGAGGGGATCTTGATCTAGGGACCAGGGAGGTTCCTTGACGCTGGTGAGGGATCTTGATCTAGGGACCAGGGAGGTTCCTTGACGCTGGTGAGGGGATCTTGATCTAGGGACCAGGGAGGTTCCTTGACGCTGGTGAGGGGATCTTGATCTAGGGACCAGGGAGGTTCCTTGACGCTGGTGAGGGGATCTTGATCTAGGGACCAGGGAGGTTCCTTGACGCTGGTGAGGGGATCTTGATCTGGGGAAACCAGGGAGGTTCCTTCCCGCTGGTGAGGGATCTTGATCTAGGGACCAGGGAGGTTCCTTGACGCTGGTGAGGGGATCTTGATCTAGGGACCAGGGAGGTTCCTTGACGCTGGTGAGGGGATCTTGATCTAGGGACCAGGGAGGTTCCTTGACGCTGGTGAGGGGATCTTGATCTAGGGAATTAGTTCTGTGCTCTAGTTCCCTGAATTGAGCCAGAATACTTTCCATCCCCCCCCCCCCGCCAACAGGCGCTGCATAATCCCTACGGTTTTAGCGCTCCCCATGATTATAATAATTACCAGACAAGAAGCTATGATCTATATCGGGAGGGTGACTGAGTGTGACACCAGAGGTGAGGGTCGTCACAAGTCACTCTTCACAGGCTGCAGTGGTAAATAAATTCGGTGACCGGCAATTTCTTCCCGGTTATCTGTCCCTCAAGGAAGGTTTCTTGATGCTGGTGAGAGGCTCTTGATCTAGGGAATTGGATCTGTGCTCCATTTCCCTGAATTGAGCCAGAATACTTTCCATCCTCCTCCCATATGCGCTCCCCCATGATTAAAATATAATAATCCCAGTTATCTGACTTTGGTAATTTGATCCCGGTACTCCCAGTTATTTTCACTCCCGGTAATTACCTTCTCCATATTAAATTAAAGTTCGCATTTAGCACAATTTAATTCATTATATGAACTTTTAAAAACATTTATTTGAACTTATTCAAATATTTATTAAAATATTTCTTTAAAGCATTTCTTAAAATATATATTAAAACAATCAATAAATATTTGTTAGCAAATCTTTAGCATGAATCTTGTCACCACAAGACATAACATGTGTGTAGCATAACTCTTGTCACCACAGGACAAAAAACATATATTGGTATGGTTCTTTTCTCAACAAGATATAGCAAATGTCGGGTATTGAAGTTGTTACTTTAAAACATAACATATGTGTGATGGGGACATAAATATCTGCCATGAAAAGAAATATTATATTATGTATGTGATGGTGATAACGTTGAGTTGCAATACAGACTAATTCAATTATAATGATGCAGGGATTTATGTTACTACGCAGACGTTTTCAGATGTGACAGTAATACACTGAATTATATTAGAAGGCAGACGTCATCACTTTGTGATTATGATGCAGTGTTTGTTGCAAGGCATAAGTCTGCACCTTGTGATTATGATACAGTAGGTTATGGTACTTTTTGATAGTGATACAGTGAGTTCTGTGACTGATACAGTGAGTTGTATTAAAGAGATGACATCTTCACTTGGCCAGGAACTATGACTCGACCCCTGCAACCAGAGTCAGGTGAGTACTATTGATCAGTACACAGCTCATTAAAGGTTTATGCATCCTAACCGCAACAGATGTTGCATGTCAATTGTGTGCATGGGAGAGTCTTGCCTGGGATGCCCATTTAAAGGGAAGTGGTGCCTTGATGCTAGTAAAAGGTTCTTGGTCCAGGAATTAGAGCTACTCTCCTCTTTCTCAGAGCAAACCTGATTACCTCCCGTTTACCAAGCTCCCGTGAATGCAGTTTACGTGTACCTTTTGTTCTTGGGAGAGCGTAGCTTCACAAGGTCTGTATTATTGTCTTCTTGGCGCCTTGATCATGTTAATAAGGCAGACGACGCAGGAGGAGACGAATATGACAATCAAAAAGCAAAAAGCTGTAAAGTAGACTGCTACTTCTCTCTTGGTCATATTCTCCAGGCTGGGCACTTGCCAGGTCCACCACTTGCTGCCGCCCATGATATCAAACCCTGCAAGTACAGGTAGAGACAATACATATCACAAATTTATTAAACTTCACAAACATACGAAAATGTGTATTTTAGTTGAGATTGTGATCTTGTATAATAAAGCAGTGAATGATTTGAAAAACAACTTGAATGTTAATTGTGTAAATTGTTGCAATATTTGCGAAAATGAATCTATTATGAAAAATAACATATTTACTGATATTTTGACTGTTATTTAGCCTAATATCATTAAGACAATCTTAACAAGAATAATTTAGGTGGATATTACTTTTTGTTTAAAATTTACATTTCGTATACTAAGTACGAATATATTCACAAAAATCTATATCTATCAACATGCATGATTTTTTTAAATACATATCGCTAGGGCAATTCGGACTGTTTGACTGACTCTGCCTAAAAGGCCTCCCATGGGATGTACCATGATGCTGGCGAAGGACTTTTGTTCCAGGAATTTGGACCTATCTTCTTCCTGGGACAGAACCTAATTACCTCCCCTTACATTACATGACTCGTGGATTTAGCACTACTTATGTTATAAGAATAATCTGTGTGTAAAGCACCACTAATATTGTGTGTAAGAGAGGCTGCCGCTGCTCTTACACGGAATAACTACTGAGTGATTAACATCAAAACATATTAAACAAAAATTATAAAGGACTAGAAAGATGAACTATTTCGGTCATTACCATTTTCATCGTCAGTGCAACGGGAACCCACCTGCAACTGAAATTAAAGTTGCAACTTTTTCTCATTTCAGTTTTACACAAAAACTACATGATTTTTGAAGTGCAATGAATTGTGTATTAAAATAAGAAATTTTCTAAACATGATGCATGAAATAATCATCTTTCTGAATGTAAACATACGTAACACCATAGACACAAAATACTGAGAGGAATAGACAAGGTGGACAAAGACAGGATGTTCCAGAGATGGGACACAGCAACAAGGGGACACAGTTGGAAGTTGAAGACACAGATGAATCACAGGGATGTTAGGAAGTATTTCTTCAGCCACAGAGTAGTCAGTAAGTGGAATAGTTTGGGAAGCTATGTAGTGGAGGCAGGATCCATACATAGCTTTAAGCAGAGGTATGATAAAGCTCACGGTTCAGGGAGAGTGACCTAGTAGCGACCAGTGAAGGGGCGGGGCCAGGAGCTTGGACTCGACTCCTGCAACCTCAACTAGATGAGTACAACTAGGTGAGTACAGGTGTGTAGCCTATTTTAGTATTTATTTTATTGCTTGTAACTGGGGTTTAATTTCAAAGAATCTAGCATGACATTTTTGTTTCAGATAAGTGGAATGACAGAACATTTTTAAGTGCATTCTTTGTGGTTTAAATGTTGAAGTTGCGACGGTACAAGTCACAAGAGCACTGAACACATTAATTAATGCCAGTTTGGAGCGGAAAAACGACAACACTTGATGCTCTCAAGATGGAACCAAGTGCAAGTCAACATCAGTTGCAGAAAAACTTACACAGCTAAGCAAAATATGAAGGCTGGTAGGAGAACATTTACTGAGAATCAATCAGGTCCATCTACAGTACATTTCAGATCAGGTATTAAAACACTTGACTTTAAAAAACTTATTTTGTACCAAAGATACAGCGCCACCAAATACAAAAATACTTTAACACAGACATCATAAAGTATTCAGTGTCGTAACTTATGGATTGTTCGAATCTATTGAGAACTATTGTAACCAGCGTGAAGATGAATGTGAAAACGAAGTCAAATGTCGAATTAATACATCAAAGTATTTAACTGCCACCGATACTCGCTATAATTATGACTGACTTAAAACTATTACAAGAAGAGAAAGGGGAGGTAGGCCAAAGACAGATGGTTTGCTAGTCTATTTGAGAGTTCCGTTTTTTTTATAGATGGAAATGATGAAAGCCAATACAAATATCAAACACATTATGAGAGATCTGTCTTGAGGTGAGGAAAGTATTTATTTTGGCATTTGGCAGAACTTATAAACATTACGAGGTCAACGTATGTTGTGTAACGCTGACAAACAGTTCATGTATCTCTACCTTTAACGATACTGTTGACAAATATCTGATAGACACTGGTACTCTGAAAGAGAGAGAGAGAAAAAAAGGATCCTAAAGAGGAGTAGCTTAGGATTTTAGCTGCTACTGCTGCCATTAAATGTGATAATATACGAGTTAAGGTGTATGACATGGACAACTAGTCTTCTCTGCAAAATGGAGGAAGATGCTTTGAATATGATCTCAGAGACGCTCAGATGTTTTACTGAGTGTCACAAAGTAAAAAAAAAAATGAGTTACCACAAAAACTTCGCAGGAACAAGTGATGATAAGTCATGCTACTGTAGCGGCATGCAGACCAATAAACGGTGAAACAACAACTCCGGTCAAACTGTGATTGGCTACACTTCCTCCCACAACAACAACAACTTCTGTTTAGTATTCGTACAGTTTTATTTAAGTCCAACTTAGCCTGAACGTACGTGGAAGACGCTGGAACCTGGAAGGAAATTCGCTTAAAGCTGTATCCGCAACTCTACCTCCAGCACCTGACAAGCTATTACATTTATTTTCAATCAGTTGCAAGTTATTTTGCAAGACTAGTGAGTGCAAGAGAGCAAGTCTTGTATGTTCAGCGATGTGTTGTCACTGTGAAAACTCACCCTATATTTTTATGGAAGAACTTTATGGTGATAAGAATGAATTATTTTAAGAAAAGTCGTCTAGAAAAGTTTAATAAAACATTATTAGTGTTTCTCCTTTTTCTTTTTTATCTTTTTAAGTCACATACTTAAGCATTTAATATAAATAAATCATGTCAGTATTATGTTGTATATTCCATCAGTTTTATATTTTAAGCATCAAATTCGTGTTTCACGCTTTCATAATTCTTGGTATTTGCTCACTGATTCCAGCATAATGAGTGTAAAGTCAGTCTCTCACTTCACAATAACAACACCTCATTAAGTCTCCCTAATTTAACTCTCACTGGAGTGAGAGTTAAAAACCTAAGAAATAATGCAAAATTTGTTTCCAGTTCCTTCCTTCCATGTGCCAGTTAAAGTGATGAAATAACAGAGGCGGGGAAAGACAGGCAAAGAAAACCACTTAGTTCAGTCGTAGGTTAATAATAATCGATTCCTACCTTTTACAACTCAAAAATCAAGCAGTGTTATGATGGAAAACTGAAATTTGTACAACTCACAACTATTACTTCAGGAATAGTAATAAATAAATTTTTGTTTAATCTTTTAGTCCTGTGCAGCGTTTGTTTGAAACATTTTTTGCTATCTTCAATTGTTACAGTTAAAAAAAAAACGCAAAAATCACGGCTATTTTCCCGTAGCACGATCACTAGCGCACACACCTCACGCACTGAGGTCCTTGCTTCGATCTCAGGTACGGGTGGAAACATAAAGACGTGTTTCCTTGACACACCCGTCATCCATGTTAGCCTAGAAGAAAAATAGGTACCTGGGTGTTAAACGACTGGTGTGGGTCGCATCCTGGGACAAAACTGACCTAATTTGCCCGAAATGCTCAGCATAACAAGTAACTTTCTATATAGTAGTATGTCATTGATGTCAGCTAGGACTGTATACCTTGTACATGTACTAGTAGAAATAAAGATTTATTATTATTATTATTATTATTATTATTATTATTATTATTATTGTTGTTGTTGTTGTTGTTGTTATTGTTGTTGTTGCTATTATTATTATTATTATTATTATTATTATTATTATTATTATTATTATTATTATTATTATCCCTGGAAATTATTTCAAGGTAAGACCATTTTTTATAGACTAGCTGGACTATTATTTGTAAACAATAACCATCTATCAACAAGGGACTTTGATGCTGGTAAATGACTCTTAATATAAGTAATTGGAACTGTCCTCATCTTCCTTGGATGAAACATGATTACCATGAATTCCTTAGGAGATGTATCACCCTTGGGGGTTTTGCGCTTCACAATGATTAAAACAATAATATTCTCAAACCAGTTAATTACTCTGCCTACACCGAGTTGTTGCTACGACACATTGTTAATGTGTCTCATACTAGAGAACACATAGTGTGTATATCATGCTAGACAATACATAGTGTATCTCATGCTAGACAATACATAGTGTATCTCATGCTAGACAATACATAGTGTATCTCATGCTAGACAATACATAGTGTATCTCATGTTAGACAATACATAGTGTATCTCATGCTAGACAATACATAGTGTATCTCATGCTAGACAATACATAGTGTATCTCATGTTAGACAATACATAGTGTATCTCATCTAGACAATAAAATAGTGATCTCATGTTAGACAATACATAGTGTATCTCATGCTAGACAATACATAGTGTATCTCATGCTAGACAATACATAGTGTATCTCATGCTAGACAATTCAAAGTGTATCTCATGTTAGACAATACATAGTGTATATCATGCTAGACAATACATAGTGTAACTCATGTTAGACAATACAAAGTATCTCATGTTTAGACAATACATAGTGTATCTCATGTTAGACATACATAGTGTATATCTGTTAGACAATACATAGTGTATCTCATGTTAGACAATACATAGTGTATCTCATGTTAGACAATACATAGTGTATATCATGCTAGACAATACATAGTGTATCTCATGTTAGACAATACCTGTGTATCTCATGTTAGACAATACATAGTGTATCTCATGATAGACAATACATAGTGTATCTCATGTTAGACAATACATAGTGTATCTCATGTTAGACAATACATAGTGTATATCATGCTAGACAATACATAGTGTAACTCATGTTAGACAATACATAGTGTATCTCATGTTAGACAATACATAGTGTATCTCATGCTAGAAAAATACATGTGTATCTCATGTTAGAAAATACATAGTGGTAACTCATGATAGACAATACATAGTGTATCTCATGTTAGACAATACATAGTGTATCTCGTTAGACAATACATAGTGTAACTCATGTTAGACAATACATAGTGTATCTCATGTTAGACAATACATTAGTGTATCTTCATGTAGACAATACATAGTGTATCTCATGTTAGACAATACATAGTGTATCTCATGTTAGACAATACATAGTGTATCTCATGTTAGACAATACATAGTGTATCTCATGTTAGACAATACATAGTGTATCTCATGTTAGACAATATATAGTGTATCTCATGCTAGACAATACATAGTGTATCTCATGTTAGACAATACATAGTGTATCTCATGTTAGACAATACATAGTATATCTCATGTTAGACAATACATAGTGTATCTCATGTTAGACAATACATAGTGTATCTCATGTTAGACAATACATAGTATATCTCATGTTAGACAATACATAGTATATCTCATGCTAGACTAAACATAATGTATCTCATGCTAGACAATACATAGTATATCTCATGCTAGACTAAACATAATGTATCTCATGCTAGACAATACATAGTATATCTCATGCTAGACAACACATTCTTGTTTATCTCATGATACACAACACAATCATATTGTAACTCCTGCTAAATAACTATTTTCTTAATTAATATAAATTTTAAATATTTTTTTTTATTTTGCACTGAAGATAAAGTGGGTTGGTGAATGTCCTCTTATAGTGCTGTTCCTTGATGCCGACGAGTTGCTGTTGATCCAGAGAACTGAAGCAACTCTTCCTTTACTTGGATGAAGGAAATGTAGACACTTCATGACATTTTTTTCGGGTTTCTCGATTTATTGTGATTATGTTTGTGCAGCGGCAGTCATGAGTGAACCTTCCAGACCGTTATATAACTTTCATCTTGGTGAGATCAGTTACATCCTTGGCTGTTTCATAATACGTACTACTGTCATCAATCATCTCTATCATCAGTCATTATCCAAGATCTTTTTGTAAAATTCTGTAAAACGTAGTTGCATAATAGTTTTTCATAATCGTTAATGATATTAATTCCATTTTCCTGAATTATGCTATATTTTGCTCCGGAGAATGTGTGTTTTTCCTCCTCTCAATGAACTTTACATTGTCTTTCCTCTCTCGTAGCTGCAACACCAACCTGCCACAAACTCTAAACTGATAACCTAAACAAATTCTCTCCGTCATCGTCTCTACTCTTCTAATTAAACTGTTCTTATAAACAAATGTTTCATCTTATGTAGCCTCGTGGTAGTGCTGTACATAGTCAGTATTTAGTAACGTACTTCTCTCACTCAACTCTTCCTCTAGTTTGTTATTTGATTTTTCTTTGTAATTTGCTGCAGTGTTTCTCCACACCAGTAGTTTGTATTTTCTTGTACTCTTATTCTTGTAAAGTTATCAGCTTTCTCATTCCCAGTGATATTAATATGAGATGTTACTCATAGAAATTTTACTTGTATTTTATAATTTTCTAACATACATACATTATTTTTTTTTGCATAACAGCCACAATAATGTTAGTATTATTTCTCGAGTTTTTTTTCCTGAATAAGGTCGAAGTTTTACGTAAACATGACATAAGAGGCCCTAATACATTTGTCTCTCTTCCTATATCGATGGGGATTATGATGACTTTCCATTTTGGGGGAATATATCCAGTTAGCAGTACTTGAATCATGTTGTTGGGCAATACAGTGTCTGCACTATAAAGGAAAACATAAGCCACAGTCTGATGGTGAACGGGAGAGAAGCTTGTTTGATATAGATATGTGACAGTGTATCGGCGATGCTATAAGTTTCTGGTTTCTGTTTTTGAGGGATGGTATTTGTTCTAGCAATAAAGGAGATTGTAGAGCCTGTAGAGATTAGATTCTTTGAAGACCATTTGCTCCAGTCTATATGGTCCAATCAATTAAATGTTCCTCTGCAGTCCTGTAGATCATATTTTGCTAAGAATCTCCCTGATTTGTGTTCTTTAAGAGGCACGTAAGCTTCACTGTCTTCTAATAACATGTTCATTTTTTCCATAATAATTGTCGCATTTGCTTTGTCTGTTTCGTAAGGTGAAATCTAGGATCATTTTTTAATTCATGGTATAACTTAACAAATCTTTGAGGACAATTGTGTTACAGAGGTCTGAGCTTCACTGAGTCCTCTGTAACATAATTGTCCTCAAAGATTTATTAAGTTTTACCATGAATTAAAAAAATATCCTAGACTTCACATTACGAAACAGACAAAGCAAATGCGACAATTATTATGGAAAAAATGAACATGTTATTAGAAGACGGTGGACGTACTTGTACCATAATTAACTCGAGTGAACAAATTCTTGCCTGTCTCTCCTACATAATTCTTTACACTATGTAACTGTTAGCTCTCTTTAACCATTATGGATTTAGCACTTTCTTGTGAAAGTAATAATACGCATTCCTAGTTCCTAGAATAGTATTAATAACTACATTCAATAAAGTGATAATACTGTTACTAATGTGGGTTGCAAATACTGTGTACACACACAATGTTTTTGTGATCGTAAACAACTCTTACCAGTTGAGGTAATGATAATATTCTGGCGATCTGGCTCAGCTATCTCTGATTACGTTGTTTTCTTATAGCAACTTAAAAATTATGGGAATTCCAATAGGAATCCATTTGATATATTAAACACCTTCTGAAAGTCCGCAAAAACTATGAGAATCTTTAAAGCAGGTAACTGTTTGCTTTGAAGAAAATAAGGACAGTGATGTAAAATGCTTTCATGGGACCATGTTTCAAGTAGGGTCTCACAAATAGCAGTACTAGACTTGCTCTAATGATGATATGAATTCATATAAACGACCTATCAAAAGAATTGTTTAAAAAATAACTCTGTTCGTAGGTGATGCTAAATTTTATGCGAAGTAGAAAACAAATCATGCAAATCCTGGAAGAAGGTTCACATATATGTTCTGCCTTGAGTAAGCCTATTGATAAATGTGTATTAAAACTTATTATAGTTCTAGCAGACTGTTTAAGTATTTAATCTGTATGGAGCAAGTGGAGCGATAAATGGATAAAAAAATTTACAGTGCGTGGATATAAATGTCCTCCAGATTAATAGATTTCTGGCAGATTATCAGGGCATTCTCTTCAGTAACGTATGTTTACATTATGCGCCATGTTAACCTAATTAGAAATAAAATATATACAGTAATCAGATTGCAACCGCTGTAAATAAACATCAACGTTCAGCTTTTATAGCGCAGATTAACTATGATGAAGAACAATGTAATCAAGAGTTTGAGCTTCGTCTGTGTGAAACAACTCAGTGACTGACCTGAAGACTGTGTGACGTTGACTGCTGGAGGTAGCATGAGAGGAGGCACCAGAATACTGCAGGGGCAGTGAGCACCACACCTGGGCTCCCGCACCTCCAGCCTCCCCAGCACCGCCAGTGACTCGTCAGCTTGACCAACCTGCACCACCAAACCATCAACACCTTAACATTCAAACTCTATTTCTAATACTCATTATACATTATGTTTTTTTAAAAATACTTTCATATTTTTTTATAAATACTTTTACACTTTTTATAAACACTTATATTTTTATAAATACTTTTTATATTTTTTCTAAATACTTTTATATAATTTTATATACTTTTATATTTTTTATAAATACTTTCCTTTATTATAAATGAATGTGACACTAAAGCGTAACCTAAAGCCTACCATTGGCCTTGACATTGAGCATATAAGGCGCAGGCTGATTTTCCAAGACTTTCTGAGAGAAAAAAGCGCGCCTTATATGCAGGAAAATACGGTATGTATTATGAGAGTGGACGGGGCCGGGAGTAGTAGAACGAGAGGTAGTAGTAGAAGTAACACTAGTAGTAATAGTAACAGTAGTAGTAGTACTAGTGGTGGTGGTGGTAGTTATAGTAGTATTATTAGTAGCATTAGTAGCGGTGGTGGTAGTAGTAGGGGTAGTAATAGTAGTAATAGTAGTAATGGTAGTAGGGGTAGTACTAGTAGTAGTAGTAGCAGTAGTAATGGTCATAGCAGTAGTGGTAGTTGTAGCAGTAGTAGTAGGGGTAGTAAGAGTAGTAGAGGTAGGGGTGGTAGTAGTAGTAGTAGTAGGGGTAGTAATAGTAGTGGTAGCAGTAGGAACAGACCATTCCAGGAGTCTTGGAATGGTCTATGAAACATGTTAAATGAAATTAAGCACATCTCTTTTAAACGTCTTTAACATTTATAGGTAAAAGTACAGCGCCTGCGCTCTGAAGGACAGCTGTTGATACGTTGCAGTTTTTTTAACTATAGTGTAGGAGCGCCTCTTGCAAGACAGTGATGGAGTGAATGATGATGAAAGTGTTTCTTCATTTTCGGGTCACTCTGCCTTTGTGGGAAACGACCGATGTGTTAATAAAAAAAATGCATGTTATGGACAGAATAGTACTCAGTGAGTTTTGTATGTGTAAATGTATAGGATGGTACCCAAACTTACTGGAGTTCTACTACAAGTGGTCAGTGGTCAGTCGTCACGTGAGGTCACAGACCCTGAGCTGCTTTGGGGATTAGCGTGGACGGTTACAAAGCATGGCTTGCTTCTGCAGTGTTTTAAAAATTGAGGTTGGAGAGTTGAAGGAAGAGTCTTGCTTTTCCAGGAGGAGATTAGGAGGATGAAGGTCCACCTTAATAGGTCTGAGAGAGAGTGTGAGGTGGCTGGAGTTGTGGGGAATGAGGTTTCTAGCAGTGAGGTGCAGTCTGTCTCTCGCTGTGAGGAGGCTGTAGGTGAGGAGGTAGCAACGGCTACCAGCAGTGAGGTGCAGTCCACCACCTGCTACAAGTGGCGAGTGGTAACCAGTAATGGGAGAATCAGAATAAGGAAAGTTAAGAGTGAAGATCTGAAGGTAGGAAATCACTTCTCTGTTCTTCAGGATGAATGTACTTCAGTGGCCAGTGAAGGTAAGGGTACTACTGTCCCTGCTAACAGAGGTAAGCGCATTCTTGTGGTTGGTGACTCTCAGGTAAGATATATTGACCGTGCTTTTTGTAATAGGAATAAGAAGATGAGAGATAGAGTGTGCTTCCCTGGAGCTGGTGTTGGGGACATAGTTAACAGGCTGGATAATATCATGTCAGGTAATGGGAACAAGCCCATTATCTGTCTCAGCGCTGGTGGAAATGATATTGGGAAGGGTAGGAGAGAAGAGGTGCTAGATAAGTAAAGGTCAGCTATAGATTTCATTAAGTCTAAGGGAGAGGTCCCAATCATATGTAGCATATTGCCTAGAAGGGGAGTAGGAAATGAATGGTTGTCTAGGGCAATTGGTGTAAATTGCTGGCTAGACAGATACTGCAAGGAACTTGCAATCCCATTCATTGACAACTGGAACAACTTTTATGGCAAACATGATATGTATGCAAGGGATGGGGTACATCTCTCTGGGGCTGGGGTGGTAGCACTTGCAAACTCAATTGAGAAGGCCATTGGTGAAATGCCTATGATTTTAAACTGATAGAAGATAGAGGTATGGGTGTGTGTGGGAAACAAGCAGGCTGCAATACTAGGGTTGGAAACAGTAAATGTATAAAAGGCATTCAACATGAAGTTATAAATAAACGCAATAGATCAGGTCAGCAAACAAAGGGGGACAGCAGAGGGCAGCAAGGGACTAGCTCCCTTAAGATTTACTATACTAATAGCAGGAGTGTAAGAAATAAGATAGATGAGCTAAGATTAATTGCAAGTGCAGGAATCATAGATATTATTGCTATAACAGAGACCTGGCTCAATCTGAAAGATAGAGAGATGCTCTCTGAATGTCACATACAAGGCTATAAATTATTCCACACTGACAGGGTCAACAGGAAGGGTGGTGGAGTAGCGATGTATGTCAGAGACAATTTAAATTGTTGTGTTAGACAAGATATAAAATTAGAAGCGTCGGCCACTGAATCTGTTTGGTTACAGTTTCTCGAGGGCCGAGAAAAACTAATTTTGGGTGTGATTTACAGGGCCCCAAATCTTGATAGGGAGTGCAGTAAACTTCTATGGGACGAAATTCGTAAGGCATCTACATACGAAAATGTTGTGCTAATGGGAGATTTCAACTATAGACATACTGACTGGAGCAATTTGACAGGAAATTTAGAGTCAGGTGACTTTCTTGATACGATCCAGGATTGTTTTTTAAAACAGTTTGTGACAGAGCCAACTAGGGGAAATAACCTCCTTGACTTGGTTCTTGCCAGTAGGGAAACACTAATTAATAATCTTTAGGTTAATGATGAGCTTGGGGAAAGTGATCACAAATCACTCAGTTTTAATATATCATGGAATTCCCCTAATAAAGGCAACCAAGTCTCCGTCCCTGACTTTCGCTTGGCTGATTTCATAGGACTGAAAAATTACTTAGGTGGGCTGAACTGGAATGACCTGACTAAGGGTCAGGTAGGTGGTGATGGTTACCGATATGACGCTTTCCAGGGCATAGTTCTAGCTGCTCAGTCAAATTATGTTCCAAATAGGGAAATCAGATCAAACAAAAATGATCCTAAATGGATGAACAATAGATTAAAATATCTGATTGGTCAAAAGAGAGGCATATATAGGCAAATCAAAAGAGGAGAGGGGCAATTAAGAAATCAATATATTCAGTTAAAGAGAGAAATAAAAAAGGAAATTAGAAAAGCAAAAAGAGATTATGAGGTTAAAGTTGCAAGAGAATCGAAGACTAACCCAAAAGGATTCTTTCAGGTATACAGAAGTAAGATCAGGGACAAGATAGGCCCACTCAAAAGTTCCTCGGGTCAGCACACTGACAGTGATAAGGAAATGTGTAGAATTTTTAACACACACTTCCTCTCAGTTTTTACACAGGAGGATACCAGCGATATTCCAGAAATGATAAATTATGTAGAACAGGACGATAATAAACTGTGCACGATTAGGGTCACAAGTGACATGGTCCTTAGGTAAATAGATAAATTAAAACCTAACAAATCCCCAGACCCTGATGAACTGTATGCAAGGGTTCTAAAGGAATGTAAAGAGGAGCTTAGCAAACCTTTGGCTAATCTTTTCAACATATCACTACAAACTGGCATGGTGCCAGATAAGTGGAAAATAGCAAATGTGATACCTATTTTCAAAGCAGGTGACAGGTCCTTAGCTTCGAACTATAGACCAATAAGCCTAACCTCCATAGTGGGAAAATTTATGGAGTCAATAATTAATAATAAATTAATAATAAATAATAAATTAATAATAAATTAATTAATAATAATTAATAATAAATTAATCAACGAATCTCAGCATGGTTTTACAAAGGGGCGTTCCTGCCTTACGAATTTATTAACTTTTTTTCACTAAGGTATTTGAGAAGGTAGATCATGGCAATGAATATGGTATTGTGTATATGGACTTCAGTAAGGCTTTTGACAGGGTCCCACATCAGAGACTGTTGAGGAAAATTAAGGCACATGGAATAGGAAGAGAAATTTTTTCCTGGATAGAGGCATGTTTGACAAATAGGCAGCAGAGAGTTTGCATAAATGGGGAGAAATCAGAGTGGGGAAGCGTCACGAGCGGTGTTCCACAGGGGTCAGTGTTGGGCCCCCTGCTGTTCACAGTCTACATAAACGACATAGATGAGGGAATAAAGAGCGACATAAGCAAGTTTGCCGATGACACCAAAATAGGCCGTCGAATTCATTCTGACGAGGACATTAGAGCACTCCAGGAAGATTTGGATAGACTGATGCAGTGGTCGGAGAAGTGGCAGATGCAGTTTAATATAGACAAATGCAAAGTTCTAAATGTTGGACAGGACAATAACCATGCCACATATAAACTAAATAATGTAGATCTTAATATTACGGATTGGGAAAAAGATTTAGGAGTTCTAGTTAGCAGTAATCTGAAACCAAGACAACAGTGCATAAGTGTTCGCAATAAAGCTAATAGAATCCTTGGCTTCATATCAAGAAGCATAAATAATAGGAGTCCTCAGGTTGTTCTTCAACTCTATACATCCTTGGTTAGGCCTCATTTAGATTATGCTGCACAGTTCTGGTCACCGTATTACAGAATGGATATAAATGCTCTGGAAAATGTACAAAGGAGGATGACAAAGTTGATCTCATGTATCAGAAACCTTCCCTATGAGGATAGACTAAGGGCCCTTGTGGCATGCAAAGAGTACGTAACCTTTATTCGGCGCATGTACACACCCTCATTTACAGGCTATCTCCCCCAACCAGCGAACCAGGTTGCTAAGAGTTGGTGATGGGGCCCCGTCGTTCAACTAGTGACCAGGTTCTAGCCAATAAGAAGATGGTTTTGGCAATCGCAGAGGTTATGTGGGTACCGCTCTCCTGTCTGCCCTTGTCATTCCCATTCTAGAGCTGGTTGAAGCACGGTCTGCTATCTTGTGGCTTCTATTTCTGCTTTGCTTACCGTGGAGTGCACT